GAACGGTTGGGCTGGGGGAGCTTAAAGGGCTTTGCCAACCCAAACCATTCTGTGATTCTAAATAAATGAAGTTGCTCAAAATCCTAAAACCTGTACTGGCTGATGGGATCTGCCAAAGCGGCCGGCGCGTCTCAGGGGTGCAAAAGCTGGTGAGCTCTTCAGAAAGCGTTGAGTTTTCTACTCAGGAGAGCACCGGTGGTGTTTGCAAGGCCGTGAGGACAGCCCACCTCCCACGCTATTGCTGTGGCTGATCAGCCTCTGCTTGAATCGAGGGGAGAACAGCGAAATTCAGGCGTCCCAGCCCTGTCACCTGTTCTTGCCTCTTGTGACAGAAAAAGAGCGCGACCATATTTCATACGGAAAAGTATTTCAATCAAAGCGCGTGGCTCTGTCATCCCCTCTCAGCCCAGGAAACAGCCATCGGTATCTCTCTCTGCATCCTTCCGAACGTTTAATGGCAGTGCCGCGCCGGGCGTGTGACACGGTTGTGCCGCGTCCCGCTTGCACGGCTCCCTTTCTGCGCTTGCACTCCCCAGGGCGGTCACGCTGCCCCGCCTGAACAGCCACCCCTTTCTCGCACGGATTATTTTTATCTCCCTTTGTTTGCCAATAAAAAACCCCTCCCGGTTTTACTGTTTTCCCTTTGCCACATGGATTTTTCTCGTGTGTGTTTCCTTCTGCCCTGGCCGGGGGCTGCAGGGAAGGGAGGAACCCAGATAACCTAACGCCAGAGGAATTTTCACGTGCTTTTCCACCTCAGGTGAGAGGCTCTCTGGAACGGCATCAGTGATGTTCCCTGGGCCAAAGCAATGCCGCATCCCAGTGGGAGATCCAGGGGCAGCAGAGAACCGCTCCGTAACCTGGAGGATCTGTTTGCCAGAGCCCGGCCAGGCCTCTGCCTAAAGCAGCCTCTGCCTAAAGCAGCCTCTGCCAGGCACCGGTTCTGCTTGGCCCCGGCTCGCTGGGAGCGCTGGGGCTTCTGAGTGATGGGGAAAACCTCTGCCCTGGGACAGGGAACCCCTTTTTGTTGTTACAGGTTCGGGGAATGGGATTTGCAGGGGGCTGGAGTACAAGGGCCGGGTGTTGGTGGTGTATAAACCCTCCTGGAAGGACTAAAGAGCGTGAAGTAGGAAATAAAGAACACGATACCAGCTCCTCCCTGACGCCCGGGGCGCTCAGCCAGGGCTGCGA